ATCGGTTTCCAGAGATGTTGCCAGAGATGGAAACAGAGAGGTCCAGGAAGGACAGAGAGGTATCGGAGATGGTCCAGGTGAACTTAAGGTTGGGGTGGAAGGTGTTAGTGAAGTGGATGAACTGTTCGAGCTCCTCGTGGGAGCACGAGACGGCGCCGATACAGTCATCGATGTAACGGAGGAAGAGGTGGGGGATAGGGCCAGTGTAGCTTCGGAAGTGGGATTGTTCCACGTATCCTACAAAGAGGCAGGCATAGCTTGGGCCCATGCAGGTACCCATGGCCAACCCTTTTGTCTGTAGGAAGTGGGAAGAACATGTGGCACTGTAGCTTAGTTGGTTAGCACACCTGCCTAGTAAACAAGAGATCCTAGATTCAAATCCCAGCAGAGCCTACAGTTTACATCCACCATCCCTCCTTTAAACATTTCTTATACATGTGTTTTAAACATTGTGACTCTACCTGCATCGACCACTTCCTCTGAAAGTTCGTTCCACACACAAACCACTCTTTTTGTAAAAAAAAATGCCTTTCATGCCTTTTTTTTTAAATCTTTCCCGTCTCACCTTAAAAATATGCCCCCTAGTCTTGAAATCCCCCACCCTGGGGAAAGACACCTGCCATTCACCATATCTATACCCCTCATGATTTTGTAAACATCTCAGGGGTCACCCCTCAACCTCCTATGCTCCAGTGAAAGATGTCCCAGCTTATCCAACCTCTCCTAATAACTCAAACCCTCCATTCCCAGAGACATCCTGGTAACATCTTCCATTTTGATAAGGTTGGCCTTCCTTTTAACTGGTGGTATATTTAAGTGCCATGTAAAGATATCATGCTATGATTGAGGATTCCAATGGTAAACGAATGAGGTTAAAGAGGTGGGGAGATGGTAAAGTCATCGTGCAATTGGATAGTGATAATGATACAGAAAATAGGCAGTAAAATACTCAACTTGGGGTCAAAGAGAATGCCAATCATGCAAGCAGTCTGGTTTATCCTGAGTCAGTGGCTACAAAGAGGAATAGATTCATTGAGTCTGAAGGGACAGAAGACAATGGATTCGGCCTTGACAATATTTAAATAAGCAAAACTACAATTAAACCAACATTTGATATTGCTTAACGGTTTGGACTTTATCTTTGACATGCAGTAAAGGATCCAGTAAGGAGTCAAAATTTGAAAATAGAGACCACATGACCAAGCCACTGTGTTCCTTGGTGCTGTAATCTTAATAATTCCAGTCCCTGGGCCCACAAAGATTCAAAAGTCACAGCCTGATGACATAATTTGTAAGATCCATGCACAGGAATCTTGCAGTATACTGTCTGACAGCAGCAACATATTGGATCAAGCTGGCTGGCCAGAAGAGGCCCAAGTAAAGTTTATTATTTTGCCTGGCTCTTCTGGGCCAGGAATGTTCTCTCTAGACTCTTCAAGAAGTCTTCAGTTTTTCAGAGAGCCTTCATTGTAACAATTGTCAGGAAATCACCTGGACTGGTAATGTAATAGTCTCTCATCAAGAAAGAATTCCAGCACTGCCCTGATCTTCAATCAATAGGACACCCAGTCCACTCCCTGAGATCACAAAGCTACAGAATTGTATTCTGAGTACTTTGCTTTTGAAAATTCATGCACAGCCATGAACAATGCTGTTGTGCAAAAGTCAAATCTGTAAAGGTTACAACTCTCAAACTGAAATACAAATCCATCAGAGCTGACTACCTCAGTCCAAAGGATAATTATTCAAATGCAAATGAGCTATTTCTAAAATATTGTTGGTTGTTGCAACTTCATGATTTCCTTAGACTTGTGTTGCCAATCTGTGAAGTCCATTAAGGTAGGGTTAAAAATAATTAACTTCTATTAAAGATCATGGCAAACAATAACACTTCATTTCATCATGAGGATACAAGAAAGCAAGATCATGAACATGTATGACAATTCATCTCTAACTGTGGTGACTTGTACTGTCTTACTTGTAATATCATGTCTTCTACAACTTCTTCTCCAAACTCTATACATTATATTGTCTGAGAAAGTCTGTTACTTAATTTCTTATTTACCAGGATAAGCATTGTAGTGGTTTTACTAGTGTACCTGACCCATGTCCTCAGCTCCTTCAAAAGGAAATGAAAATTTGAGTCACCTATGAGTTCTCTTGAATGCTGCTGGGCAGAAAGAGAATTGTCAGATGTCTCAAGTTCAGCATTCAAACCATCATTGGGATCCATTGATGAATGCAATATCTTTGGTCTTTTCAACACTGTTAATGACCGGTTCCATGGTTGAGGATACTAACGCATGTCTGTTTCATCATATTATACTATGATGGTTTGAGCAATAATAGGACATTGGATGTGGTGTTTGTTGAAGCACTTAGCAATTACATGTTTGATCGGATATCCACACTGATCGGATGTTTGGTTGGTTACGTGGTTTGTGATTTCTGTAGCTACTATGTAACTAGAATGGCACTCATACTCTTTTCCCCTCCCCTTGTCTAAGTCCTCTGTTTCAAGATGCACTAAGAGTGGATGTGGGATAGAAGGGAGTTGAGTTCTTAGCCCCTTCCTGTTAAAGGTTCATGGCAAGCAAAAATATTTTGAAGTAGAGTTGGAAAATGATTCAAGAGTGCCAAATGAATGCCACTGTTCTTTATTAGCACTACCTTTACTATTTGGATTCTCATTTCTTCTTCACCACTGATTTGCACTGAGCTACTTATATGGTCAAACCCTCAGGATACTGTGAACTCCTTAAAGTATTTATTAGCAAATTGGATCATGTGGGCTGCAAAGATGTCCTTCAGAGACATAATCACTGCCTCCGATGAATAACTCTTCAATCTCTTGACCTGCATCCACCTTGAATGACAGTCAACCACTATCAAGAATGTTTTACTTCTATGTTCAAAGAGATCCATCCCTATGCTTTCCAACAGCCTTGAAGGAAAAGAAGATGATATGAGTGGTTCTTTAGGCTCCTGGCAATGAATTGCACCAGTGATATATCTTGATACTATCCATTCCAAAGCTTTTGAAAGACCTAGGTATCAAACAGAATCTCTTGTTCTGGCTTAACGTTTTGTGATGCCCAAATTACTTTGATATAACAATTGCAATATATTGAGTTTCAGCACTCCAAGCATGACTAATATCTTCTCATAATTTAGAAAATTATCCACTACACAGAGGTGTCTTCTCGTCTGATTGAGAATGGGATTTTTTATATAATGACTATCCTTTATTTTCAAACTTGAACACATTTGTATGATTTTTGTGCCTTTCTGATTTCAGTAAGTCGTTGAATTGTTGCTGACAGATTTACAGTTGTTCATGACGTAGACTTTTCTACCTCTTTAACATAACTTGTTCAGGCCTTGCCACTGGGATACAAGACACATTTCCTTGCAGCAAATACCATTAACCGTACTTTTGATGGAAATTTTACTAAATTCTTAGCATGCAAGAGAGTAACTCAAGATTTTGTCTCAGTTGTGAAGATTTAGGTCATTAATTGGCAGGCTTTTCACAAGCCAATGCAGCAGCCATGTTTCTTTTTCCATGATTACATACCATTGTTTAGCCAATGAAACACTGCCATTGGTATGGGACCTCAATTTTAAAAAGAAACATGCATTTGTTTGAAATCCCACCGACCCTAACGGAGCATTGTTCACACCATACAATCTAACTACAGCCCTAAATCTTGCCTGCTGACTGCAAACATCACCAACCACAACCTGGTAACGACCCAAGTGTAATGGTTTCAACCTCCCATGGAAAATTTGAGTAAGCCTCAATCATGTAAGGCTGGGTCAAGGAAAATGTGACAACTTGTTTGACATGTGGAACAGTATGAACAATTCAATATATGAATGTAGCCACCCAAGGCAGACAATCACTCATATACTGAACTTTTGCCTTGAGAGATCCATTCCTGGTGAGATCATAACCATTCACACTACATCAGCTGAAGCTGTTAAATAGATTGTTAACCACAATATTGAATTCTATCTGCTTTCCCATCCAAATTAATAAAGGCAACTATTTTCCTTATGCAATTAACATTTGCTTTTTGCAACATTTCATAAATGAGATGCATTTTAAACTGTGTAAGTGTTTCATTTGTAAAACTGTACAACCAGATACCAGCTACAACATTCTACTATAATATGAACTTTCACAACACCACTTTTGAAAGTTAAATGGATTATAGTAATTGCCTAACTGCATAAATGGTTAGATGCAGAATTTGTTTTGGGACTGAAGGTATAGGGGTCAATTATCACTCCCCTGCCTGGTGGAAATCTTATGCAAGCTTAATTAAAATTGTGTGAAGGGTCAGTTCAGAAATCAGGGCCAGAATAAGTCCAGCAAGAAAAGGTTTTTTTTTTGTAAAAAAACATAGTTTATTTGTGTGTCAGAGAATTTTTCTGCCCTCTCTACTCCCCAGCTCTCACAAAGAAGATTCCCCACCAACGGCATTTTGATCTGCTGGGTGCCATTACACTGGACCACAGGTAGACTGCTGTTCTGGTGTGATTGTGAATGAAGCATATGCAAATTGGGTTAAGCAGCAAAATCAACAGAACCGCACTGCTGCTGCTTCCAGAAAGACCAGTTCTTTGCTGGTCACATCCCTGCCTAAGAATTAATACAAAATCCATAACTTCTGCCTTACTTAACCTTTAAACTGTTCAGCAATGTCTTTTGTTGGTTTGCAGTATCATTCCCACATTTGTTCTGTTGCTATCATTTGAACGATTCAAAAGTAAAAGTTGGTGCAAAATGTAAGTGCCACAGTAGTCCACATTAATGAATAGTTAATTTAACTTGCATACACTGCGTATCCATTTCAGAATCTCCATTAAAGTTGTCTTCACCTTTGTGATTCTTGTTCAGTAGGTTTCAATAAATTCAGTTGACTTTAAAATGTCTTTCTGTTAATGTAAACATTAAATAGCTAGTGTTTTCTTTAGAGAATTTGAACAATTACCCGTGGTGATCCTTGTGCTTGAAGGTGCTGGTTTAGTTGCCATCTTCTTAGAGTTGGCCAAATTCCTTTGTCGTGTGGGTGGCTGCCTTTGTCTGGAGTGTCTGCTTTCTATTGAAGAAGTAGAGGAGGATGAGGAGCAGAGTGACCCAGGCAGAGAAACTGGACAGACAACAAAGGTTGAATAGAGAGAAAAGAAGAAAGTGAGAAAAATACACAACACAAAGTAAAACACAATGGGACAAATCGCTCATTGGTATTAGCATCATTAATTTCAATAATTAGTTTTCTTAATTGAAAGACCTTTTGTATAGAGATGGATCATGTGAATACAATTTTGCTTTTGACCTATTACTCTCTCATTTGCCACTTTGGGCACTTATTTTTCCTTTTTAGTCTATTGACATTTTTGCTTCCTAGGTTTTGATTTCATTCTTTAATGAACTTACGTTTAGAAATGTTTTATGATGTAGAAATTACTAAATGGAAAAGACAATGATCCAACTAGTTCATCACCTATCATCCTAGCAGTCACACAGAAATACAATAATACAGTTGTTAATTAATCATAACAATTAATCTCCATCAACTAATACAACAGGTCAAAATATGATGTGAGGAAGACCACAGTGGTGGAGAGTTTTGGAAACCACAAGTCCAAAGTTACCTGGTAATTCCAAATGTATAACACTTACCATGCCAGCAGCAAAACTGGCTGCTGTAGAACTGCTGGGGCTGCATATGGCACACGGCTCTTTGAGTCAGAGTCATTGAAGTCTACAACAATGAGAAAGGCCCTTCAGCACATCACATCTGTGCCAGTCAAAAACAACCACCTAACTATTCTAATTTTATTTTCCAGCACTTGGCCATAGATTTAATGTCTTGGCATCACAAGTACACAACTAAATACTTCTTCAATGTTATGAGGATCTCTGCCTCTAACACCCTTATAGATATTGAGTTCCAGATTCACACCACCCCATGGGTGAAAAACATTTTCTTTTATTTAAATCTCCGTGTATGTAATCACTTTCAGCCATGTTGGGGAGTTGTTAATGTGCTAATCCATCAATGCTGAGCTTACACAATGGAATCTGACTTACATTAATTCAAGGGCACATTATTCAATTTGCGAACAAGACTTTTAGTACTTCAAGTACTGAAGTATTGTGGCATGTTTTCAGAGGTACTGTTGTGAGTTTCTGGATTTGGCAGGGGGTGTTGCTAGTTTCCCACAGGGAGTGCAGAGAATTTAGTGTCCTGTCCATGCAAAAAATGCAATAGCATAAGGGCTGTGATTGCTTCTGATTCTACAACACAATAAACAAATGGAACTGTGGTTGTAGAGAGGGTAGGGTCTATACGGTGACACAAGGACAAGGATCTCCACAGAAAGCCCTAACATGAGTTGTTCAGAGAACAATCTCACATCTTTCTCTCACCTAAGAACATTGTCTGTGATCTGAGATTCATCAAGGAAGTAGCCAGAGAACTGTTTCATTTCCTTCAGCGAGCCCCATAGCCACATACCAGGAAAGGGACAGCACTGCTAGTGGTCACAATCACTCTGAACTTCTATATAACAAGGTACTTTCAGAAGAAGAGCAAGACATGGTAAATATTACACACTACACCATCTGTCACTGCATCCAAAAGGCAACAAAGGACATGTATATGAGGACAGGTGATTTTATTGTCTCTAACTAGAGAGAAGCAGGATGAGCAGGTTGCCAGCTCCAGGTTTCCAAACGCTGCAGGTACTGCATTAACTGCACAAATAGCTCCATGGGTTCCACTTGTCATTGAGAACATGGCAGAAAGCACAAGCTGTTCCATTTCAATTAATGTTTACTTTATGCATGATCATACCCAAACTATCACTTTGGTGAATTCCTGCAATCTTGGTGACAGCTTCGATGCCTTCATTCAAAGGTAGTACATCATTATTTCCAACTTCAGGCTAGCATGAAGAACCAGACCTTAGGATGGTTTAATATTGTCCTCGTGTTCCAAAGATTTGTGGAGGTACTTTTCTTATTTTGATAAATATATGTTGAAATTAAATGAGTGATACCCTGCCCAGCAGAAACTGGGCAGATGAGCAGGTAGAATGATCCAGCAGATTTAGTGACAAAGTTAATTTCCTTTCCTGCAACAAACAAATTTCATTTGCTCTTTTAAACAGCTGGGCATGACAACTACTAAAATCTGGGGAATGCTTCTTTAAATTTCGAGAAGCTTTAATTAATAAAGCATGTGGACCCAAATGATAATTTAATCTGCTAATCAGTGACAGGAGGAGTTGTCTGAAAATCAGCCACAGACAAATGAAAAACATGTTTGTTTTCCTGTAAGTTCGAAAGAAGCGGAAGTGCATCCTTCAGACTCTGGCAGCTGCTTCCTGCTGCCCAATATTCTGTTCTACCTGCTGCCTACCTCTTGGTTCCTATCAGTTTTGATGCTTTAGAGTTAAACCCATCCACTCTATTTAAAAGTAAAGATTCAAGGATCACAGGTAAGTCAATAGGTAGGACAAAACATTTCCAGTCTAAAACTATTACAGAGCTATAAGACGGTACCCTAGATGGCCAAGACAGTTCAAAACAACATGTAACTCAGCCAGGTTGCCAATTACCTGTTGCTGCTTTTTTTGAAAAAATCCTTTCTCTTTTTTAAATTGTGTTTCCTGCTAAATGTCTTGGTGCCTTAGCAGACTGACAAAACTGTCCAACAGCCTAATTTTCCCCGTGCTGTTCTGTGGCAACTCCTGTACCGCAGAAAGTAAATTGGAAGTAAAATTGTTGAAGAGAAAAAGAGAAACGTAATCAATGAAATGGAGAGAGACAGGGACAGACAAAAGGGAAGGAGAAAGATTAAAGTAAGTTAAGAGAGACGTTAAAATGGATTTGGAGAGAAGAAACAAAATGTACTGTGACATGTACGTAAAGAGGGGCAAGAGAAATGGAAGTAAGGAATGAAAAACTCAATTCAGAAAACAGGTACTTAAGTGGAGGACAGAAAGATAGAGACTGATGGAAATAATTGAAAGAGATTCACAAATAAAGTGACAAGTAGTATGCAGAATATCTGAAATGAAAACTTAAGGTTGTTACACAACATTAAAGTAAACAAAACTTTGCTTATAGCATATTTTGTCCTAATAACACTAATTAAGCCCAGCAATGATACTGATAGGGCATTGGGACATACAAATAATCTAGGAAGCGAACAGTTAAAAATGTTAAGCAAGAACTGTAAAAACTATGCTATTGTTATCACATTCTTGGTAAAAAGGCAAGAATTTCAGAGTTAGCACCACACATGCTAAGATTAATTTTTAAGTTTTTTTTAAAAATAGCTAGCAGGTTATTTTTATAGTAGGAATCTGATTTAATTCCAATTGCACATAACACTGTGTATACCTTCTGTTCCAGCCTGAGGTCTGGTAATGTCCTGAGCTGGTATGGGATCTTTTTGAACATACTTTTTGGAAGAAAGTAGACCTTTTGATGGAAAAAATTATTTGATAGTCAAATAGAAAGGCAAAGATGTGCACGTTTAAATGGATTAAAATGACAAATATTTAAACCCGAGTTTCATTATACATATATATATAACTTGAGGCTATCAGTGCTTCAACATACTGCTATGGAGACGCAATAAGGTAAGCATTCTAAAGCTGTACTCTATTTTCATTACAAGAGCACGGAGTAAAGAATTGGGCACAAATAGATTTGTTATGACTTTAATTACCCAGCAATGAAGACTAGAAAATCAAGAATGCTGCAAACTGAATACATGCCTCTAGAGCCAAGTCTGCAATCATTATTAACATCAACTATAAAGGAAATCAGCCTTGAAAAATTTACTCTGATAATATAACAAATAAAAATCATGAAACCTCAAAATGTAGGTGAAATATAAACAATTTGTGCAACAGTAGTTTAATCAAAATTGTAAATACAAAGAAAGGTTAGCATTTTGAATGTGACCTTTGTGATCAACCACTGACTGACATGTTATGCTCCTCTGGAATTTTACAGAAAATATTCAACAGGATCTGATTTTGGGTGCACGTATGACAATGAATATTTACTCTGCACCTTTATTCCTTTGAGACAGGCAGTATGCTAGCTTTGTGATAACAAGGTGTAGAGCTGGATGAACACAGCAGGCCAAGCAGCATCAGAGGAGCAGGAAGGCTGACGTTTCAGGCCTAGTGTGCTTGGCTGCTCATCAACATGATTATAGAGTCAGCCAAGCACAAAACAAGCTGCTGACTGATTTGCATATTATACTGCTAGCCTAGACCTGCTCGCTAAAGGCAACCTGCTCACTTTAAAGGAGAAGCGCACTCAGGATACAACAGAAGTTGCAGAAGGTGCAGAAAAGGTTTGATTGGAAAGATTATCAAATGGACCAAAGAGAGGTATTAGTGATGGAGGTTGATAGGAAGAGAAATATCATGTTTTCACAAGAATCCAGGAAACGCTTAAAGCACACCATTAGAAAGAAATGAACCCAGGTGGTGAAACAGGTAATTCCCGGAGTCCGACCCTGATGACATAGCTCCAATGCTGGAAAAGGTTTGATGGCCTCACAAAGATAGTCAAGGTCAATGAATGCATCTCCTACCCACTGCACTGCCAACCTCTCAGGCTACTTAATGCATCACAACCTCATCACTAACCCAGCAAAGTTCTTGAGGAATGTGGATTCAGGCTTAACATTCAGAGACTCCACGCCACTGATCATGCTGCTTGCCTCACACTCACTTCTCATTCAGAGACTCCACACATCTGTAGCTGTTTAACAATGGTAGACATATGACCCAAACACACTGTCACACTGGCAATCTTTCCCCTCTTACATTTTTTGACTAAGTGTCAGTTTTGTTGAGTTTTACAGAGGGTTTCTATCTATGGGGCACAGCAAGATCTCTCATTGTATCTTAACAAACTCACTTCATTAACTACCTCTAGGTTTAAATGGATGTGCAACCAAGTCAAAATTGATATGAGAAAAATATTTTTCACTTAGTGAGTAATAGGGTATGAATGCATTGCTTGGAAATGAGGTGGAGGCAAATTCAATTGAAGCAGTCAAGAGGACTTGGATGATTATTTGGATAGAAATGGTGTTCAGGTATATGGGCAACAGGTGAGAGAGCGACACTAGGTAATAGAGCCAGTCAGGCTTGATGGACTGAATGGTCTCTTTCTGTAGCATAATAATTCTGGGATTCTTCGATTCTGCAACCTACTCCATCCCTACAACATCTCTCTCACTGGATTCTAGCTCCATCCTACCACTCACTGTTTCTGGAACAATTCACCATTCACTGGATATCCACTGAAAGACTGGCATTGCTCACCCCTGCAGCATCTTTAAAATGCTACTGTGACACCAGAAGAGCACTGCCATTCTGAAGCTGTCCAGCTTATCAAAGGATATCATTCCAAAGATGTCCGAGAACGTGAAAATAGCACCACAATTCTCTGACAGGGAGCTGAAGGTCCTCATGGATGGGAGAGTCCAGATGGCTGGCAAAAGAGGCCATACCACCAGAAACCAACAGCCTGGTTTGAGGTTGCAATCCGGGTTAGTGTTGTCTCCACAGTCCGGAGGAACTGCCAGTAGTGCTACAAGAACGTCAATGACCTTCTCGACTCTGCCAGGCTAATTGCCACACTCCTTTCTGCTGCCTCACACTCACTCTGCTAGCACACCCAACTCACCAAGGCTCATGCCCTTTCACTCTCACTAATAGCTGCAACATTTCCCTCCTTCACCCTTTGTCTTTCCTCCACCCCCTCAACCTCCCACAGCATTAACATTGCATGGCATCTGCGTTGCCTACTTACCTGTTAGGACACCTCACCACTGTCTGAATGTCTGCACCAGAACTACAGATGTGCCACCCACTTTCATCTCACTCAATCACTTCCATTTTCTCATTCCAGGAGAAAACAGCCAATAATTGGGCAGAATGAGCCAGGAAGGGTAGACATCATGCTCGTCACTCACCACAAGGAAAGAATCCTGTAAATGTCACTCATTGCACACCACTTCACACCACTGGTACGACCCTCTCTCTTCTGTCTTCAGATGACGGAATGGCCATGGCCCCTGTACAAAAAGGGACTGCGCTGTCAGAAGGCATCTCCTTGACTTCTGAGGATGGGAGTTCAGCTGCTTCAAGAGGACCATTAACAAGAGTCCCTCCTGTATCCCTGCCCGCTCATATACTGACAGTTCAGTCAGAATGTCAGATTTAGAAATTTCTGTAAGAAAGTCTCATGTTAGCATAAATGTTCATGGTTTTTGCTTGTTTGATTTTCCGTGCAGCCTTTAATGTAACTGTGTCAACATGATACTTAATTTCATGTCCATATAGGATGTATCACGACACAGTGTCTATGTTGAGATCATGTGGAAGCAAGATGTATACGGCTTACATAGGGCAAAGGATTCTGTTGGTACCAATGCCCCTCTTGGTCAGACATCCCTATACTTTCAATGGCCTTTATATATAAAAGTGCTATTGCTGAATGAAATGGTCAGCAATGTCTGCAGCAAAGCAAAGAACAGTATGCAAGGAGTCAATGTATTAGGACTGTCATGCACTAGTAACCCTGCAGGTCAAGTGCATTGGTCTGTGTGTAATGTTCTTGCCCTCTAAGGTGTCTTACATTGATGGTACTTGCAGCTCCCTCCCTCACAGTTCGAGACACATACTCCACCCACTCTGGATGTGGTTGCAGCCACCTTCTTTCACAGTGAATAATTTTAATTTCCATCATGATGAAAGGCAACAGCATGGGCTGTTGTTTCCAGCTTCTGCCTTACTCACATACTCTTCAAATAATCTTAAAGTATCTTTGCATCCTCCTCATGACTTTCTCTACCATCTAGTTTTGTGACATCTAAGAATTTGGAAATGCTGACTCATGGCTGCAGAGTCGAATTTGGACCAGTGCTGTACCTGGCAGCATCAGTGGTGTCTGCCTGCCTTGGCAAGGTCCAGTGAGGACTCATAGTGGCAAGGCATCAGTGGAGGTGAGATAGCGCCGAAGAGAGGCAACTTTCATTCCAGCGCCAAAGGGGGTTCCTGCCCGACACCAGGCCCATGGCGAAGCATTTAACAAGAAGGACTGCAAAGTTGAACTCTTTTTCTTTATTTCTTTATTTTTCTGACTTTATATTCTATGTCTTAAGATGGCGCCGGAGAGTGGTGACACCATACAACACCTTTCGCTGTGTTTTGTAACAAAATACATGTGACAATAAATAAATCAAAGCAAATCATTGTGACTAGCTAGGGCCTAAGCACTGATCATTGCAGTACCCCACTAGTCACAGCCTGCCAACATTAAAATTACCCATTTATTACTAGTCTCTTGTTTCCTGTTCATTAATAGTCATACAACTGACTCCATTTTCAGCTGGGAGTAATTAAGAGAGGGCAGCAAATGGCAGGTCATGCAAGAAATGATCATTACAGGTTTCTTGACAATTTAATCTGATCACTCTAATGCTTTCAATGCATGCACTCACACATGTGTGATACATGTTTTCAGTAATAGCACATAAAATGGGCCATGTTAGAAGTGTTCAGAAGCATTCTAGTTGACATTTTGAGAATCTTGGTCTTTGATATTGGTGATAGCATTACACTACTAAATCTTGCAATATCTGTTTTTATTCAGATTTTCAAAGTTGGTAGATCAGAGGAAGCATGTTTCACCAACTTCATATCCATGGAAAAGAGAATCAAGTGTGGTGTAATATGGACAATGAATGTGCTCTCCCTTCTATAACACAGAGGTAAATTTAAAATGCCTTCACTGTTTCATGATATACCAAACAGGCTGCTGAGCATTTTAAATAGCAAGGTAGATTTATGTAACAGGTTGAATTCAATGTCAGAATAGACATAGTCAGCCTGTTGAGGAGAACAACTGGTTGAGGCCAAAATTTATTATGTTAACTACTTTGGCTTGTCATCACAAGTCTATTTCACTTAACCTAATAAATGTGGATTTTTAAAACAAACACTTCAACAAAAATATCTCCATGTAAATATATATCATATTTACAACAGTAAAAAAATTCAAAGCACCTTGGAAGGAAAATAGAAATGAATAATTCCCAATCTAATCCAGAAAAGTTGGAAGATTTGCAGAATGCTTGGTATAGGTGAGGAGAAAAGAATAAAGACACAGGACCTTAGGGGTAGAATTCCAGAAAGCGAAACAAAGTTTATGTCACCAAAAATTAGCCAAATTAGGGGATACCCAGAAGCTGGTTAACCAAGGATGCAGGAGGAAAACAAGGTAAGAGGATCTCATAAATGCACAATGTAACCTAACCTTGGCAGGATTGCAAATAAGAATGAAAATACCAACTGAAGGCCAGAGAACTAATGGCAGACAGCAAAGGCATGGGTGCCTCCACTCAAGATTGAATATGAATGGCTCAAATTTTAATGGGTTGGAGTTGA